AGTGGTGTTTTACACTCCTCACACATAAAACGAGTGTCTCTGCATAGTTGTGGGCATTTCCTTGTATGTTCACAGACGTAACACCTCTTCTGAGCCTTTTTCTTGAAAGCAGTAGCAGGCAGTTTTACTAGGAAGTGATCACTATGCTTCAGACAAGAAGGTAGTTGTTGATAATTTGGTGGGCGGTCAATTGCAGGTGTTGTTCCTTGGTACTTGAATACTATTTGTCTGATGACAGACAAACAGAATTTGCCATACTGTGGTTTGTTTCTGGTCCTCATCTTGTATATATATTATAAGCATTGAGCATGGAAATGTCCAGAAGATGGAAAAAGAGTTTGATGTACCACTTATAACTCTTGCGAACACAATCAGCAAACCCATTCTGCATGTCACATTTGTCCACTGAGTGCATGTTGAAGGTGTAATCAATCACAGCTGCAGGTTTTAGAATGGGTTCATTGCTCTCTCTATGCTGCCTGCCACTGTCTGCCATTTCATTAGGGTGAACTGATGACAACAGTGTGACATCTCGTGTGTCATGCCACCGAAATGACATGTTGTCATTGGCAGCAAACACCTGCACCTCACCTCTACGAGTCCCAGCGTGAAACCTGGGCATATGTTTCCGATTTGCACGCACTGTGCTACACACATCTGTCATGTTCACTCGCAAAAAATCACTGAGTGAGGGGCTTGTGTACCAGTTATCTGTATATAATATATGCCCCTTACCAAGGTATGGTTCTATCATTGTTCTCTAACCACATCACCAGAGATGCCCAATAACTTCCTGGTATTTTGCAATGTATAACTTCCAGTGTACACAATAATATCCAATACCAGACCACTGTAACAATCGCAAAGCACAAACAACTTTATACCAAAGCGTTTCCTCTTGCTTGGTATGTACTTCTTGAAAGAGAGTCTTCCTTTGAACAGAATCAAAGACTCGTCAATTACAAGCTTCCTGAAAGGATAAAAATGCGTACGAATTTCTCTTCAAGTTACACAAACACATTCCTAATCTTATATAACCTGTCATTTCTGTCAGGCCTGGTTTTGTCTGAGAAGTGAAGCATACGTAACATTAGCACAAATCGATTCACTGGCATTATATCACTGAAACCTGGGTTGCAATCAGGCGGTCTGTTGACCAGTATGATTTCACTTTGTGCTCATAACACGTGGCATAAGCATTATTGTGGCAAAAAAAGATACATCTCAGCCACAGTTGCCTCCACTGGTGTAGACGTGATTTTGGTGAAAGTAATTGTTTTCCATGGTGTACTCGTAGTATGTGTTGCTTTCCATGACAATACTTCCATCAGGGGTTCATCAAAGAATAACTCAAAACATTCCAGTTCAGTGGCATTGTTCCCAAGTGTACAAGATGGCCGTATTCCACTTTGGCTCTCATCAAACTGGTGGGGATTTGGAACAAAATTGACAGCTTCCTGCCAATCCCAGGTGTGGTCTGCTGGTAGGTACTGGACAATGACAGGTGGTTGTGGTTGTGGAAGTTGTGGTTGTGGAGGTTGTGGTTGTGGAGGCTGGTGTGGTGGTGGATGAGGGATGGTGGCCTTTGTTGTAGATCAGCTGAGGCAGCGACGTGGGTGGCAGCATGGCCCACTGCTGGTGCCTCACCGCCAGCACCACTACCACCACGCACATTTTCCATCCCAATTGCAACAGTATCATCGTCATTTTCACTGTCTGTTCCTGTCGTACAGCCACGGGATGTACTCCGAGATGTACTCCTTCCCCTTGGAATAACATATGCACACTACACTACCAGAGCGCATATATCGCCGTATATACTGACTCTTCACTGGGGAATATTGCACTTCACTATCACTACTAGAACTAGTTTGAAGAGCTTGTAGTTCATATTCACTATCACTATCATCACAAATGCTCTCATCTGAGTCTGGGATTTGGGAAAATAGGATTTTTCCTCTTGGATTCTGGTACAACTGAAAGCGAACAAGAGGGCCCAGCACCAGAGGTGGAAGGCTGAGGGTCGTCTGGGTTTTCCTCACTTTTAAACCGATATTATGTCATTAGTTTTCAGTCAAAACCTCACCAAAACTTTGAAACTCATCTTCACTGGCACTTCTGTCTGTATTAGAACTGTCACTGGGGAACAAAAGTGCCCCAATTCACCGAGGAGTAAAGGAGCTTCTTACTGCGAGGCTGGTGGACATTGTTTACTAAGATGGCATTCCCACAATGCCCCGCTGGGTCCAAGATTTTTTTCTACCGCGCAAAACCGACCACACAGACCCATTCTGTCACATCTAGGCCTACCAGCCTTTTCCCGCGAGATTTGACGGCGCTAGAATTTATGCTTACTAGTACGTCAAAAACCCCTGCGCGTAAACTGTCTAGTACGTCCGAAACCCTCAAAGGGTTAATTGAATATAATTTGTTATGAATCAATTCAAACCAACGTCTTTGCCAGAGGTTGCCAAAGGGTTTCCTTTTTACCTGGAGGTTATTCCGGGGATCAACGCCCCTGCGGCCCGGTCCATGACCAGGCCAGGTGGCTAGAGATTAATGCTAAAATAGTCGAAAATGGAATATTTTCTATATAAAAAATGGAGGTCATGTACCGCTGACTGCACAGCAGAGTCCTGCCTTCTCGTTGCCCTGAACATCAACATGACCAGGTACCCAGCAAAAAACGATTCCTTTGTTTTTGGTAGAAATGCGGCAGAACAAAGTTGTGTATGAAGAACTAGAAGATGAGGCGAATTAAATTTTATGATAGCCTGCAAAGCACTAAAGAAGTCTGAAACTACTACAAATGTTGAGGTAGACATGGATGTGATGCATATAATCTCGATGATAATTGCATACAGCTCAGCTGTGAAAATGCTAGCTGAATCTTATAAATGACCTCACACAACACTGTCTGGAAACACTTCTGCAAACCCTACACTGTAAGAGGGTTTAGAACATCATTGTAAACTCAATGGCATGAGAATGGGACCGGAAGCAGTTAAGAAAAAGGGAGTGTGAAGCAACTGTAGGTATTTCAGTTTGCCTTCACTCCAGTGAGGAAGAACAGACATGAACTGTCAAAACCTCCCAGGGAGGAAGGAAGAAGTTAGATGCCAGATGAACATGTAAAGTGGGCAATTGAAGAGAAGCCAAGAGAGAGTGAATACGAAGAGAAAAAGGACAGCGGGGATAAAATAATGGATCTCTACTAATGTTCGTTTACCATCCTGTATGTAGAAGGATCATAAAGGCCATGAGAGCAGACAAAATTTCGGAGACAATAGGTATCACATCGATCATGCAATGATGAAAGTTTCCCCTATACATATAGGCTTTTGACAGGAGAGGAACAAAAAGCACCCAGACACAAATGTAATCCCTAATGATAAATGAGATCAAGTTTAGAAAGAGTTGCAGGAGAGACCTCAGTTTATGTCTGCCATAATCTTGTTTCGATAGGAATATGGAAGACTGAAGCGTAAGGAGAGTTCGTCAACGCCCCCTCCAAGAAAGATGATCTAAGGTTTTAAGGAGGGTCAGCCAACTATGGCAAGTTGCATTAAGGGAGGTAATGTGAGGTCTCCAGGACAGCTGTTGATCAAACAGGAGTACAAGAAATCTGACCGTATCACATTCAGAGATACTGAAACCATACATGTATAATTGAGTATTAGAGACAACAGAACGTCTACTATAACTAATCTGGTGCATTTTAGCATCAGAAAATTTAAACCCATAAGTAGTGACCCAATAGGAAACAGTCAACACGGATAGAGGTTACTACTAGGCAACAGTCAGCACCTGCACAAGCTATAGCAAAGTAATCAACATAAAGTAATGACCAAATATTAGATGGGAGAACAGAGGCCAGACCATTTATAAGAAGTAGAAGAAACGTGAGGCTAGGGACACGTCCCTTCAGCCTGGATATAACCAGGAAAAATCATATTATATACCAGGCATGGAAATGTCTCTCTGACGAGAAGTTTTTAAGGACAAGTGGCAGATTACCATAAAGTCCTAAGGAATGAGATTAGGCTAAGATGTTATATCTCCAAGTAGTGTCATAAGCTTTTTTCAAGGTCAAAAATTACTGTGATAAGCAAGTGGTTACTAGCAAAGGAGTAAGCAGAGTAAGGGGTTGATAGTCGAGTGGCCCTTACAAAAACCAAATTGACGAGTGGAAAGACTGTTTGTAAATACCACATTTAACGTCTATTTACTAACGTTCCAGCAACTTTCAAACTGCACTAGAAACAGCAATGGGTTGAGAGTGAGAGGCATCATGTCTTGAAGTCCCAAGTTCGTGAAAATCCAGAACAACCGCAGTTTTCCACAGGTGGGGAAGAACCCCTTGCGACCAAACAAGATTCAAAAGACGAGGGCTGACGGATGTAAATGCTGAAGCATTCTAATATGAATGCCATCAGGTCCAGCTGCCGACAATCAGCAAAGAAAGTGATGACACAACTTCAAGAGGCGTAAAAGGCACATCATGAGACTTCTCTGCTAGAAGTAAAGTCTAAAGGTGGTAACTCTCTGGCAGACTTGGAGAAAAGAAACGAGAGATATGGACAAGATCATTTCTAATTGCTCTGGCAATTTCAGTAGGGTTTGCAATGCTGACACCAGCAGCCATAAGAATAGGAGCTGGATCTGGAGAGTACCTGCCACTCAACATCCATACTTTTTTTCCATACTGCACACATAGAAGGAAAAGTAAAGGTTGAAACAGAATTCCGCCAACAAGTGTGTTTTGCTTCAGGGATTACACGTTGGGCAGCTGTCCTTGCCCACTTAAAAGCAAGGAGCTGCTCTGTGGTCCTGTTACAACAATAACGGCCACACACAGAATGTTTTAGACGCACTGCAAGAGCACAACTTGGAGACCACCAAGGTACACATTTCTGAGCATGCCTACTCGAGGTTTACACAGTTAGACAAACACAGGTGAGCATAGCTTATTACAGTACGGTTCTTTTTTGTTGTTTCAGGCAGTGAGGGAGAGATGATGCAAGTAGTAATAAACACTTTACAGTGGCCCCGTACGCAGGTGGTGAAGGTATCAGCGGCCACCGACCCCCAGCAGGAAAAGCAGACCTACCAGCAGGTAGGGGTTAACCAGCAGGAAGAAAAGGCCTACCAGAAGGAAGGAGAGACCTACCAGTATATCATGGTGGAGGCACCATCAATGGGCAGTGCACCAGTCGAAGCCATCACACCCACTAGCACAGTTACCATTGGTAAGTGACCCTCACATTAACATGTTTTTTATTAATAACATGTAAATACACATAAACACAGACATATAAACACACACAAATACATACACACACCATAATATTCACGCATGCATGCCAAACCCATAGACAGCACCAACCCTCCCACCTCCCAGAACACAGTCCTCAAAAGGAAACTGAAGATGTGGTACACCAACACAGATGAAATTACAAATAAGAGTGAGGAGTGGCAGGAAAGAATCACTGAGGCATCCTCGGACATCATAACAATCACAGAGACAAAGCTCACGAAAGTAATAACAGATGCAATCTTCCCATCTGGTTATCAGATCCTTAGGAAAGACAGGGGGGTGGAGAAGAGGGAGGAGGAGTTGCACTGCTTATCAAGAACCAATGGACTTTTGGGGAGATGGGAGGACTAGTCAGAGGGGTAGTGGATAACTACACAGTAGGAGCACTGCATATTGGGGCCCAAAAGTGATGGTAGCAATGAACAATAGCAGGCCAAGACAAAATTATGATGAATGCAAAAGAGTGATTGTGGACACACTAGCCAGTATTGCCAGAAGGGCCCACATGAGCAGGGCAAAATTACTCATCATGGGGGATTTCAACCATAAGGAGATTGGGAGAATCTGAAGCTACATGGGGAACCAGAGACATGGAGAGCCAAGATGCTGGAGGCAGTACTAGAAAACTTCATGTACCAACATGTTAAGAACACAACCACAGAGAGAGGAGATGACAAACCAATGCTAGACCTTTTATTCTCCTTGATTAGTTCATACATAAGGGACATCACACACGAAAGGCCCCTAGGTGCTAGTGACCATGTGGTCATGACTTTTGAATACATAGTGGAGTTAACAATGAAGAGTGAAGCAACATGAGAAGGATGGGAAAAGCCAAACTACCAAGAAGGGGACTTCACAATTATGAGACAATTCCTACATGGTGCAGTGGGTAAGCGAGCCAGAGGGAAAGGCAGTAAACGAAATTTTGAAACACGTGACCACAAAGTGCAGGGCGGCAGAAGAGAAGTTGGTACCAAAGGGCAACAGAAACAATGGGAAGACCAGAGTGAGTCCATGGTTTACCTAGTGGTGTGGAGAGGCCAAGGCCAAGTGTGCAAGAGCATGGAAAAAGTATAGAAGCAGAGGACCCAGGAAAAAAGGGAGTTGAGTCAAAGAGCCTGAAATGAATATAGTAGGGCCCCACTTTACGGCGTTTCACTTTATGGCGTTCCACTAATACGGTCATTTCAAATTATGACCAAAACTCGCTATATGGCTCCCCCCACCTGACTCTCTAATATGGTCACCGCGCCCCACCCTGTTTGTTTACATTCTCTGTGAGATCCGTAAGCACTAAGTCTCTCCATTTTGTCTGGAAACTCCAAAATTTCAAGTGTTTTTAAAAGTTAGTTCATATTTTATATATACTCTGATAATTATACTTATGTATACCTGTACCTAAATAAACTTACACACTGTGCTGGCATGCAGGTACACATTAAAATCAGTAAGAGTGTCTTATGTCTCCAGACGTCATATTAGAAATGATAATAATAATCACCGAGTCTCATTTAAATGTCATATATTACGTTAATATACACATTTTCATTAATCCATCTATGATATTTTTTCAAAATTATGTAATAAACACAATGCATAACACATAAATATGATAAATACACCCCACAGTAGAATAAATAAACATAAATATGAGATGTGGTAGCAGACGACTTGCACCAGTGACGCCATATTAGAAATAATAATAATAATAATAATAATCACCGAGTCTCATTAACCCTTTGACTATCACAACCCCCAATCCTGAGGTGTCTCCTGGTGTCGCAAAATTTAAAAAAAAAATTATTTTTTCTTATGAAATGATAGAGAATCTTTTCCCGATTGTAATGACACCAAAAAAACGAAATTTGATGGAAAACTGACGGAATTATGTTCTCGCGAAGTTAGCGACCTCGGCGCTGTTTACAAATTGGCGATTTCGCCCACATTGAGCCCTATTTTCGGCTAATTCCATTGTTCCAGTCGCCCAAACTCATAGCTATTTCTTTAGAACTCCATTTTTTCTATCAATTGAGTACAAGAAACTGCCCATTTACCGATTTCAACTACCTAATAATGTGATCAGAAATTTGCAATTTGGCCAATTTCACGAAAACTAAAAAATATGACAATTTCAAAATAAGGTCCAGAATGAACAATGCAGACATTCCTGGCTCTAAAATAACATTTTCTTTGCTCATCAGTCATGTCTCCAGGCCCCTCTGATATTACTCTTGCTTTCTATTTTGAATTTTTATTCAAACAAAAAATGGAAGACTTACTATTATGCAGACTACTGCAATACTGTAATAATTGTGTAAATAACATCAACCCATTCATGACTGCACATTAGAATGGCTAGTTGGACATTTATTGGACAATGGCATCATTTGTTTACTTTTGAACATTGGCAAAAATCAAACATTTCCCCTACTTTGAGCTCCATTTCTAGGTTCTTTTTATAGTAAAATCAATCAAAATCACCTCTATTTCTATAATATGTTTTCCATTCTATCAAATGAGACCAAGAAAACGAGAATACAACCATAAATACTATACGAAAATAGACCACAAAGTCGGCATTTTAATGAAAAAAAAACGGTCGGAGTTTTTTTTTCTCATTATGCACTGTGTGCTCCAGGATTTTTTTTATATGGTGCACACTGACCACACAGACCCATTCTCTCACATGTGGGCCTACCAGCTTTCTCCTGCTTGATTTGAAGCCGCTAGAATTTATGAGTATATATACGTCAAACACGGTACCTCGTAAGACGTATATATACGGCCACGACAGTCAAAGGGTTAAATGTCGTATATTACGTTAATATACACATTTTCATTACTCCATCCATAATATTTTTTTCAAAATTATATAATAAACATGATACATAACATATAAAGATGATAAATACACCCCACAGTAGAATAAATAAACATAAATGTGAGATGTGGGAGGCAGATAACTTGTACAAGTGATGGCAAGAATAACATTTTCTCTAATCTTACATAAGAGAAAATGTGTTATTGGGGGTAGCTGTAGAAAATTATTCCTTTCGTATGTAAGTTTATTCAGGTATACACAAATACAGTTACATAGATTATCATACATAACAGCATATGTGTAGAGAACCCAGGATAACCCAAAAAAGTCAGAGTGACTTATTTCCATTGCCTTCACTCAGAGCGTCATTTCTTCTCAAAATGATGTTACATGAGAATGGGAGTGTTCTTCTTTATTTATTCTACCGTATCAATGTAGAGACAACTTGTACACAATGTAACTTGTACACAAACCAGACGTGTACACTTTGTTTACAAAACTTACCTTCGCCTGGTTTGTTTACATAACTCTGCACCTGTCCTCTCTCATGCACTCATTCTTTCTCTCTCTCATTTATTCGTTTTATCTCATTTACTTACTCCTGACCCTACATTAAGACTACAAATATTTTAAGGTAAGTAATGAGTGAACTGTATATACATTTTATCGCTCTGGGATGCTTAAATATCATAGAATAGTATGTGTGGGTGGGTTGGCCTGGTATGGTAGCCTGGCTGACTACCATACATACCACACTTGATTTCTTACAATAAATACTACTTGTCTCACCCTAGATTAAGACTATAAATATTTTAAGGTAAGTAATGAGTGCACTATGTGTGTATTGTACTTTTTTATTGTTTTTGATGCCAAGTTCTATTGCTAACTTAATATATGTTAGTGTAAACTACTACTTCTTCTTTCAACGTACCAGCCGTATCCCACTGAGGTGGGGTGGCCCAAAAGAAAAAACTAAAGTTTCTCCTTTTAAATTTAATAATATATACAGGAGAAGGGGTTACTAGCCCCTTACTCCCGGCATTTTAGTCGCCTCTTACGACACGCATGGCTTACAGAGGATGAATTCTGTTCCACTTCCCCATGGAGATAAGAGGAAATAAACAAGAACAAGAATTAGAAAGAAAATAGAAGAAAACCCAGAGGGGTGTGTATATATATGCTTGTACATGTATGTGTAGTGTGACCTAAGTGTAAGTAGAAGTAGCAAGACTTACCTGTAATCTTGCATATTTATGAGACAGACAAAAGACACCAGCAATCCTACCGTCATGTAAAACAATTACAGGCTTTCGTTTTACACTCACTTGGCAGGAGTGTAAACTTGTTATCTAGTATTTGTATGCATTTATAAGTGGAAAAAAGGGGTGTTCCACTTTACGGCGGTTTCCGCTTTACGGCGGTAGTCTGGAACCTAACCTGCCATATAAGTGGGGCCCTACTGTATGCATGGATAAGGAGAGAAGCCTAACATCAATACAAGAATGACAGCATCAAAAGCCCGATCTGACCTAAAGTTGTTATACAGCACATCAGGAGGAAAACGATAGTCAAGGATCAGGTAATCAGGTTGAGGAAGGAAGGAAGGAAGGGAGCTCACAGAGTACAACCAGGAAGTGAAGAGCTCGGCTGAAGATTCAGGGAAGTATTCACGGTGGAGGCAGTGAGGCTTCCAGCAAACCAAGGTGGTACAGTGCACCAGCAAGTGCTGGACATGCTGCACACAACAGAATGAGGTGAAGAAATTGCTAGGGGAATTAAATATCTGAGAGAGGGAGCAGACCAATTGTGTATACTTCTAACAACAATCTTCAATAAAGCTATCAAAACAGGGCAACTGCCTGAGGTGCAGAAGACAGCAAATAGAGTTCAAATTTTTTAAGAAAGGGGACAGGCTGCACTAAACTACAGACCATTTCTGCTGACATGTATTTTGTGTAAAGTTATTAAGAAAATTATCAGGAATGGAGTGGTGGAGCATCTAGAATGAAATGGACTAATACAATGACAACCAGCATGGCTTAAGGGAGTGGAAATCATGCATCACGAACCTATTTTGTTTATCAAGATGACAAGGCAGAGCAAGATAT